CAAACAAACAAACAAACAAAAAAGGGTGGGGAATCTAAATATCTGTAAATAATAGAATGGATGAATTATGGAATACTGTGAAGCAGTTAAAAATAAACGTAGCAGATCCATGACTGACCAAGGAATGATTTCTAAGACACATTGTTAAAAAACAAGCTGGAAAAGGATATATTTCCATTTACATAAAAAACAAACACATGAACACTGTATGTATATGTTTGTGTGTATACATATATAGACATGAAAATCCACAGGACACCTTTGGAAGGACACATGTAAAATTTCTGGCAGTTAACTTGCAAAATAATACAGAGCATGGGAAGTGGAGGCAGCACTTTTACTTTATAATTATTTTGTTATATCGTTATAAAACAATTTTGTTATTCCCAGAGCAAGTCTTCAGAAAACTAAGGAGAGAGCAAGGTCTCAACTTCTGAGTCTGCTTTCACTGTGGCTTAAGAAATAGGAAAGGGATGTTGGACACACAGCCATTAAAATACTGGCTCCCACTTAATTCTTTAGTTTCATCATCTATAAAATGGTGATAAGATACAGTATCTACTGTACAATGCCATCATGATCAAATGAGACAATGAAAGTCACTGGCACTTATGAAAAACTCAAAAAGTGGTGACTGTTGTTTTAGGTCTATTCTAAATCTCTTATCAGAAATAAAACAGTGTTTTGGTCAATATGCAGAGTGTAACTGAATATATGCTAAGAGAAATAAAACCAATCATGACCTGTATTGGTTTCTTCTTCTTCTCCCAAAAGTATTTAAGGAAGGCGTGCTACCTGGATCTGCTATTAGTTTATGAAGAGTGTATCTGCTGGTACTATAAAATCAAAATACAATTTATTGTTGTAGAGGAAAAAAAGTCTTTAGAAAAGCTTAACTATGGTTAGAAAAATCAATTTCAATTATAACACCTTCTCAACTTAAACATTTCTATTAAAGTTTCTATATTTCAATATTAATACCTTCTAATTTCAACTGTAATACCTTCTCAACTTGAACATTTCTATTAAAGTATAACAACACCTATTAAAACAGCAACCCACTTACAGGTCTCTGATTCTAGATGTAGATGTAGAAATGAATCTTGCCTATACCACTGATTCACTGAATTGTCAGGACAGGTCATTTACCTTCTCTGGGCTTGAGTTTTCCTCATTGAAAAGTAAGAAATCTGGGTTAAATTATCTCTAACAACACTTTCTATCCCAAAAGTGTTCTATGACAAAGTGTTCTCTGGCCCTCCTTTAATCAGAAGCACTATTTTCCTTGTAAATCGATCAAAGCATCAGATGTACTTCTTGTTCACCATGAGAATGTGGTTTCCAGCAAAGGACTTTCTTAAAACACTGCAATAACAAGCAGTGTCTGTGGAATTCATCATGATGGGATCTGACCCGAAACCAGGGTATAGATTCTTTTTAATATGCAATGGCAGTGGAAAACTTACTAATCGTAAGATCCTAAATAAAATGTACCTTAATATTGGTCACTCACTGAGGGGTTTGTCCTATCTGACATTCTTTGCCGAAGTTACTTTTGCCTTACCAGTTTACTGTCACTCAACTTTTCACATTATCAAGAACTGTGTTGTCCCATACCTTCTATCAAGAACTGTGTTGTCCCATACCTTCTGTACCATTTCCAAACTTTTCTGTATAATAAAATATCTATTAACACATATTGGGTAGGCTCTGGGTTGAAAATCTCATGAAATACATTTAAGAAAAGTGTTTTACATTTAGGTCTTTAATCCATCTTGAGTTAATTTTTGTATAAGGTATAAGGAAGGGGACCAGTTTCAGTTTTCTGCATATGGCTAGCCAGTTTTCCCAGGACCATTTATGAAATACAGAATCCTTTCCCCATTGTTTTTGTCAGGTTTGTCGCAATGGTTGTAGATGTGTTATTTTTCTGAGGTCTCTGTTCTGTTCCATTGGTCTATATGTGTTTTAGTACCAGTACTATGCTGTTTTGATTACTCTAGCCTTGTAGTATGGTTTGAAGTCGGGTAACGTGATGCTTCCAGCTTTGTTCTCTTTGCTTAGGTTTGTCATGGCTATATGGGCTCTTTTGTAGTTCCATATGAAATTTAATTTTTTCTAATTCTGTGAAGAATGTTAATGGTAGTTTGATGGGACTAGCATTGAATCTATAAATTACTTTGGGCAGTATGTTCATTTTCATATTAATTCTTCCTATCCATGAGGATGTTAGGTTTTTCCATTTGTTTGTGTCCTCTCTTATTTCCTTGAGCAGTGGTTTGTAGTTCTCCTTGAAGCGATTCTTCACCACCCTTGTTAGCTGTATTCCTAGGTATTTTATTCTCTTTGTAGTAATTACGAATGTGAGTTCATTCATGATCTGGCTCTCTGTTTGTCTTTCGTTGGTGTATAGGAATGCTTGTGATTTTTGCATACTGATTAAACCTAGGCAATACCATTTAGGACACAGGCATGGGCAAAGACTTCATGACGAAAATGCCAAAAGCAATTGCAATAAAAGCAAAAACTGACAAATAAGATCTAATTAAAGAGTTTCTGCACAACAAAAGAAATTACCAACAGAGTGAACAGGCAACCTACAGAATGGGAGAAAATTTTTGCAATCTATCCATCTGACAAAGATCTAAAATCCAGAATCTACAAGGAACTTATAAATTTACAAGAAGAAAACAAACAACCCCATCAAAAAGTGGGCAAAGGATATGGTCAGACACTTCTCAAAAGAAGACATTTATGCGGCCAATAAACATGAAAAAAGGCTCAACATCACTGATCATTTGAGAAATGCAAATCAAAACCACAATGAGATATCACCTCATGCCAGTCAGAATGGTATTATTAAAAAGTCAAGAAACAAGAGATGCTGGTGAGGCTGTGGAGAAACAGGAATGCTTTTACACTGTTGGTGCAATGTAAATTAATTCAACCACTGTGGAAGACGGTGTGGCGATTTCTTAAGGATCTAGAACCAGAAATACCATTTGACCCAGCAATCCCAATTATTGGGTATATACCCAAAGGAATATACATCAGTCTACTATTAAGGCACATGCGCATATATGTTTACTGAAGCATTATTTATAATAGCAAACACATGGAACCAGCCCAAATGCCCATCAATGACCCACTGGATAAAGAAAATGTGGTACATATGCCCCATGGAATACTATGCAGCCATAGAAAGGAATGAAATCATGTCCTTTGCAGACACATGGATGAAGCTGGAAACCATCATTCTCAGCAAACACAGGAACAGAAAACCAAACACTGCATGTTCTCACTCATAAGTGGGAGTTGAACAGTGAGAACACATGGACACAGGGAAGGGACAACACACACCGGGGCCAATTGGGAGGTGGGGTACAAGGGGAGGGAGAGCATTGGGACAAACAGCTAATGCATGCACGGCTTAAAACCTAGATGATGAGTTGATAGGTACAGCAAATCATGATGGCACACATATACCTACGTAACAAACCTATATGTTCTGCACTTGTATCCCAGAACTTAAAGTAAAATGAAAAATATGTACATATATTGAAAAGTATTAAAAAAAAAAAGTGTGCAACTACCTTTTCTCTTCAACAGTTCAACTCTGTAACAACATAAACCATCTGAACTCGAATCATTTTTTCTATTTAAAGCCACAGTAAAAGTTAGAATGCATCCATTCAGTTGAGTTCCTACATTCTATTACCATCTTTATAAAACTGCTTGAACAGTTCTAGGTTTTTTCATGCTGGTTAACAGGATCAGCCCATATGATCATGAAAATACTCACTGTGCCAACAGCAGACACCACAAGACAGGTAAGTGTCAAGTCCTTCCGATCTTAAGTACTTGGCCACTATAGGTTAAAATTTCGAGACTGAGAGTTCCAGAAAACTTTCTTATATTCAAGATATATTAACAATTTCAGATGCATAAACTACTTCTCTTGAAATATAACTTTTTAGCAAAAAAAGATTCTCAGCAGAGTTTTACTGCAATTGTAAAGCAAATATAAGCTGGGAGCAATGGCACATGCCTATAGCCCCAGCTACTTGGAAGGCTGAGGTGACAGAATCGCTTAAGCCCAGGAGTTCCAAGCAGCTTAGGCAACATAGCAAGATCTCATCTCTAAAAAGAAAAAAAGAATAAATATAAGACCTTTGTTTCAGGATCTTATTATGTATTTTACAATATATGTCACGTTCTATTGAATGGCACAGGGTGAGACTCTGAGTATGTCTTTTTCTTGTATAAAGAGTTGAGAACTCACTTTGCAGAACAGCACAAAGGAATCTGGAGGCTTGGGGCTATGTTTTTCACCACTGCTTCTTCCACAGTGCTATCACAATGCTTTGTACATAAATGCTTAATAAATGTTCACTAAACTTAATTTGAGAGGTTATAGAGAACGTACACAAAAACTCTTGATACAATATATAGATACTGTAAAATACAGTTACGTATTTTCAAAATCAAGAATATTTTATTCAATGAGGTAGATAAAAATATAACTCAAAGGTAAGGCATTTTTAAAATGTCCACGTATTATGGAATTTAAAATGTATCCTAATTTATGTTGTCAATGTTAAATGTTTTCATAACTCATATCTATTCAAGTATTTTTCAATGTTTAGAAAAAAGATTTTTGTTAGCCAAAATAAAAACTAAAAAGATGTAAGGCAAAATAATTCATTTTATTTCTTAAATGCCTGCATATTTATAATCATATAAATTTTCATGCATTATATAATGTATGAGATACTGTACTTTCACATTAATTAAAAATTAAAAATATTAGGAGACTAATTCAACCACTTCTGAAGAAATGAATGGCTGATCAGAAAATGTCAAATTACTATCACAAGCCCAAGATTTTATCATAATCATGAATAGCATTTAATCATGAATATCATTATTTAACTTTTAAAACTATACTTACAGTTTTCAGATTAAAATCCCATATTGGGTCAATGAGACTTTACTCCAAATTATAGTCACATATGGAAGAAAGTTTTTAATTCAATATTTTATTATAGTCCACAGTATAAAGATAATTTTCATGAGGGTTACATGGATAGCTAGCAAAAGAAATATGCTAGCACAGGGTGGTAACTGCCAACTAAGCATGCACTGAACCAACAGACTACTTTAGTAAGTCCTTGATTATTGCTAGCTTTTCTATAATGTTCAGGATCTCAAAGGTCACTAAATTTTATAATTATCTCCAAACAATTTTCTTCATGGTCATTTAAGCTTTGTCTAAACAGCTGGGTGTGTTGCCAAGCGACATCACCATCTCCTCTGCTTAATTCTGCTTCCAAAATAACTTCAGTGGCACCAGAAAAATCAGCATAGGAGTGAAGATTGTTATCTGTTAGAGGGGAAAAAAATTAACATTTTGCTTTTGGTAATTTAAAGAGCACAGATCATTTTGAAATGCATTTTATATAGGTTGATGTATAAGTTAAAATAAACCCTTAAAAATAAATACAAATTATTCTTTATGGAAGAAATGCATCCTTTGAAACAAAGAAATGATTTTTTTCCTTGCGTTTGTATTTCACAACAGAAAACATCGGCCTTTCTGTTACAATGGGATCACACAGGTTTTATTTAAATTTTTTTTTTTTTTTTTAACTGAAATAGTATCAATAACTCTTGGGTACAAAAAAGAACTACATCTCAAATAAGTACAAGTGGTCTTCAGAGTGGTAAATATATATTTCATGATTAATTCTCCAGTCAAATGCTTACCGCCTGTCAGTTCTACTCGTGCTGTATCAGATCGCAATTTCCATTCTATTGTTCCAGTTTGAAAAGTTTGACTAGTTGTTTTAATAGAAATGCTATCGATTTTTAGGCCAACCGACCCACACTCAAACTTCCAGGAAATATAAGCAAAAGATGATCCTTCCTTTCGGGCCAAATATACCTATAAGGAGTAGGGATGGGGAGAAAGGAACTGTCAGAAATAATGAAATAATACAGAAAACAAACTTAGTGAAGAATATTACTGTCACAGGGTAGTATGTACAAGTCGTTATTTAAAAACCAACTTTTCCCTGTTGAAAAGGTTTTTAACTGCTAACATTTTTTTTCTTTTTGGCAATTTTTCCCGTGGCATCTTTGAATGCAGATGTCCCCAATAAGTGCAATTCTAAAGGACTGCATACTAACCAAATTTTGGTAAATCATATTCTTTTATATTAAGACAACTTTTTAAAATGAGTTTTATGATTAATCCTGCTGAAAATGAAGAATCCTTTTAAATGCAACTACTCCTTAATTTTTATTTCTTTTCTAAGTCTGGATTTTCATATGTGCTTTCCTAGCGTGACGTGATATGCTGTAACCTCTAAATCGAGAAAATACCTCAGCCATTGCTAACTAATGGTTTAAAAGGTGATATCCGTGCTCACTTCTCTAAATGGCATGCTCCCTGTTCCTTCATCAATACCCTTTAGCACATTAAATGTATACTATTGAAGGCATCTAAGCCTACTGGCTGCTTCCAGCTCATTCCCTCTCATACTTCTATCTACACTCCTCAAAACATTGCCATGAAAACTGACATCCATAGCCTTGGTCTTTCACAGGTCACTCTATTCAACCATGCTCAAACTCTTAAGACTCTGACTCTTCAGTTGTTCATCCCTTATATCTGAATTCCCACAAAATTCTATGTATTTGTTTGAAATAATTCCTGGAAAGAAACCCCTTCTTCACTAATACTGCACTTACTACTACAGTTTGGACTTTACACTCATCTTGCTGCAATTGACTACTGCTGTGCAATTCCAATTGCTCTGATCATATTTTTATTTTCAAGTGTATTATTTTAGACACAGGGTCTCACTCTGTCACCCAGGCTGGAATGCAGTGGTGCGATCATAACTCACTGCAGCCTCGAACTCCTGGGTTCAAATGACTCTGTTGTCTCAGCCTCCAACTACCATGCCTGGCTAATTAAAAAATTTTTTTAGAGGCAGGGTCTCACTTGGACGCCTGCCTCAGTCTCCTGAGTTGCTGAGATTACAGGTGTGAGCTACCGTGCCTGGCTCTGATCAGGTTAATGTTTTAAAATCCCACTCTCTTTATGTCATCTGCCTGGTCTGAAAGGTACAGCAAGTACTTGGTTCTTACATTAAGTCTAATCTATTAGCTTTAAAAATCCTCCACAATTAGGCCGGGCATGGTGGCTCATGCCTGTAATCCCAGGACTTTGGGAGGCTGAGGCGGGCGGATCCACGAGGTCAGGAGATCGAGACCATCCTAACACAGTGAAACCCTGTGTCTACTAAAAATACAAACTATTAGCCGGGCATGGTGGCGGGCGCCTGCAGTCCCAGCTACTCGGGAGGCTGAGGCAGGAGAATGGTGTGAACCTGGGAGGCAGAGCTTGCAGTAAGCCGAGACTGCACCACTGCACTCCAGCCTGGGCGACAGAATAAGACTCCATCTCAAAAAAAAAAGAAAAGAAAAGAAAAGAAAATACTCCACAATTTCATCCCACCTTGAATTGCCAATGCTCCTTTATATTTTTGTATACTATACTCCTTGATACTGCCCATATTCTGACCTACCTTCATCAAATCATAAGCTCTCTGGGGGGCACAGTTTCTGGATTCATAAAAGCATTTAGGGCCAGGCGCGGTCACTCACACCAGTAATCCTGGCACTCTGGGAGGCTGAGGCAGTCAGATCACTTGAGATAAGGAGTTCAAGACCAGCCTGGCCAACGTGGTGGAACCCCGTCTCTATTAAAAATACAAAAATTAGCCAGGCATGTTGGTGCACCCCTGTAATCCCAGCTACTCAGGAGGCTGATACATGAATACTGCTTGAACTAGGGAGGCGGAGGTTGCAGTGAGTGAGATTGTGCCACTGCACTCCAGCCCGAGTGACAGAGCGAGACTCTGTCTAAAAATAAAAAATAAAAATAAAAACATTTAGTAAATATTAAGTATTAAAGATCTGTATGCAAATATATATATATGTGTATATATATTCATGTTAGACTTGATCTTTTTAGGAACATCTAACTCATACTCTAGCTCAGGGGAAAATAGTTGAAAGTACCATATAAAACACATCTGCCATGGAATATCCTATTACATGTACTATTCTGTATTCTGGTCTTTACTCATCAAGTAAAAACATCAATCACCAATAGTATTCTTGACAACCAACCTATAGCTATTTTTCTTCCAGGTGTGCCCGTTAATCTGAAAAATTTTAGAATCAGTGAGTTAGAGATTATGTAACAACTGAGCAATCACTCTCCAAAGAAAATGATCTGAAACTACTACTTAAACTAGGTATGTATAGCCAACTGTTGTTTGTTGTTGACAAACCTAGACGTGGAACTGTCAATTGCTCCATTTAAGTTTGGACAACGTCACTATAACATCCTCTAGTGTTCATATATGTTCCTACTGCATGCTCCTCCTAAAGCCGTTTGTAAGGAGGACGTGGGACTCAGGACTCCACCGGTGTTCCCTGGGAGTCATTAGTTTCACCCATCCTAAACTATTAGACATCTGAGTTACACACAGGTTAATCGCTCCTTTAAAGGAATGGCTACCAAAGGGGGATATCTGGGAAAGAAGAGCCAAACAGAGAGGTTACTGGAAGAAAGGTGAATTAAAAGAACTAAAAGACTTGAGGAAAGTAATCTTAAGACATAAAAATTTATATCTCAATATGCATTTCTGTATCTTGTGTATTTTCAGAGCTCACTAGATTCAAATGTCCCTCAAAAGTATGGGTATAAAATATGATAGGTTGAATTAGGTTAACTTCAAATCTAGCTTACTCCAATAACTGCCTTAATTATACTGTGTGGGTCTGGGTCAGAACTGTGGTTTTAACTGTGAGAGAAGGTTTATAGTAGCTGTTGAACATGCCTGACAGCATTTATTAAAGACTTAAAATTTTCAGTCCTAAAGGCATCATCAGCTTTTAAGACTAGAAAGTTAAAGAATAAGATAGAGGTCATGATTTAATACTTACATGTTTAAACATTCAAACATACTAAGAGCAAAATAAAAAATGTCTCATGTTAAAGAAACAGTATATGGAGATCAAACACCCTATTTATACAGAAAATTCCTATCATCTTTTTTGCACAATATATTCTGTCAAAGACTCATTTTTAGAGGTGGTAGAAAGTTACCAAGAATACGTATACTCAGTTTGGTAAATTAAAATGTGCCAAAACAATGGAATTTATAAAAAACCTCGAAATCTGGTCCTGTCTATGTATAATACCAACACAATCAGTAACTATACCTTTATTTAAAAGGGGGAAAAAAGGCAAACATTCACTTGTTTAGTGTAGAGAAAAAACATTTTTTTTACAACTGCTGATTATTCCTAACATCATGAGTTATTTGATAGACATATTTTTGCCTGTTGGCTTAAAAATTTTTTTTTTAATTTATTGTGTACATTCTATAAGCTCAGTTTTGTAATTTGTAGGTCTCTAAAAGGTGAGTGTTGCTATCCTACTTTAGCAGGAGTGCTAGTAAAGTCAGAAATCATGGAGGTTTTCTCCTGTATTCTATACATACCACCCCAACCCTCCTCCCACCAGTGACCCATCCTTGCTCCTTCTTGATGTCTGTAAGCACATATGGGCATATACAACCTTTGGGTGAGAACAAGACCTGTGTGTCTAGGGTTTAGGCATAAGCCATACTATTCACAATGTATACAAATAGAACTTGTCCTTCGGGTTGTGGCTGTAACCACTATTTTCAGGACTGAACAATTTGCATGTTGGCTTCTTTATGTAATTAATATTCTATAGAAGATCTTTGCTCAAAGATTTTTTGATTACTACATGTCAGGCTGCTATGGCTCCCTAGAGGTTCAGTTTGTACTATATTGTTTGAAGCTCTTCTTTAATACATTCTTAAAATTATTGTTCTACTTAGGCTGCTAAGATTCACTCAAATTAAGTTCACCATACAGCAGGCACCCTGAAGGTCGTCATTCCTACAGATATAGAGCAAAACAGTTGTATTTCAAGGGATCTTAAATTGTTGCTGGTAAACTGGTACTTGCAATGAGTCTTATTTTTGGTTACTCCATTTTATCTTGAAAATCAAACATGAATCCACTCCTAGTTCCCATTGTATTTAAATATTTCTATGTATACTTCCAATTTATTCCATTTGGAGAATCTGGTTAGAATTTTTAAGATTTCCATGTATACTTCCAATTTACTCCATGTGAAATAGGAAACTTTCATGGTTTCCTGTTACATAATTGCAAGGTAATCAAAGTCCCTGGGACCTGACAATTATTTACCTCTCTAGTCTCATTTCTCACTATTCTCCTTCATACTCTCTACTTTTCACTCTTTCCTGAATACACCAGATGTCTCTCACCTCAGTGCTTTCAAACCCACTATTTCTCAGGTCCCCAAACAACCTCCCCTTCCATATCCTATCCTCATACTAAGAAACTCTCCCTCTTCCTCCTCTCCAAAAGCCAACTCAGATATTACTTCTTCTCAAAGGCCTTCCCTGACTCAGTGTGATACTATGATATGTGTGTGTGTATATATATCTCTCCAGATTTTCATTCACGGTTCCTGGCTCATAACTCCCATAGCCTTTGTTATTTCTAAGGCAGGCCATGGAAACTAAAAATATACTCTAATCTCCCCACAACTTTCTGTCTTGGAGCTGACCATAAAGAATTTATCTGACCTACCTTGTCTGATTGTGGGTCACAACACCCCTATTTCAGAAAGTGTCCTGTTCCATACCCTGGAGGTGGAAATGCTGCACAGAGACCAAGAAGAATCTGAACAGATAGGCTTTGCTGGGGTTTGTCAGGCTATTAGTATCAGATCACACCCTTTTTGTCCAAACATATTTCTACACTGTTGTCATGGTTATGAAAATCCAATGAAGTCTCCACAAAAGGCCTATGAGAACAGCGTTTGGAGAACTTCTGGAGAGCTGATCACATGGAGGTTCCTAGAGGGTGGCGCACCTGGGGAGGGCAGAGGGGCTCCATGTGCCTTCCTATACCTTGTCCTCTGCATCTCTTCATCTGCATCCTTTGTAATATCCTTTATAATAAACCACTAAATGTGTTTCCCTGAGTTCTGTGAGTCACTCTAGCAAATTAATTGACTCCAAGGAGAGAGTGATAGGAACCTGATTTACAGTCAGTTGGTAAGAAGCACAGGTAAAACAAACTGGAGCTTGTGACTGGCATCTGAAGTGGGGAGGGGACAGTCTTGGGGACTAAGCCCTCAACATTTGGGATCTAATGTTATCTCCATGAAGATTATGTTAGAATTGATTGCATTAGAGGTCACTCAGCTGGTTCTGCTATAGAATTGCTTGCTTGCTTATTTGGGGGAACCCACCCCCCACATATTTGGTCACAGAGGTCTGAGTTGATTGTTGTAGAGAGAACAGAAAAACAAAACAAAAAACGTGTAGAGTGAACAAAAAACAAAACGAAACAAAATACTTGGAGTATGAGGTTTTTTTCACTCAGATTCAGGGTGTTAGTGGCTCTTGTTTCTGTCTTCTTTCTCTCAGTATCATAAACAAACACATACTCTTCTACTATTTACCCCATTAATCTAAACGGTTGGCCCACACATGTCTTTCATTTACCAGCTGATATGCACCTTCAGGCTTGCCTCTTAATTCACCATTACATCTGACTGCCAAGCACAATATTTGACAATGTGCATATTCGCTAAGTGCTGAATGAATTCTTGACATAATGCCATGCACCCACCCCCTCCATCAAAATGCTAAAATGACTGTAGTGACAAAGAGAGAGATAAAACTGATCAAAACCAAAAAGTATCTAAGACCATCTAAAGGACACTCAACAAAGTGAAGTTTTTACAGTGCTCTACATAGTCCTAGGGGTGATGCAGAATTTATGCCACATACATTCTTACATTCACCAATCTTTACTAAACACTTACTATGTATCGGGTACTATGCCAGATGTATGAATACTGAGAGTACAAAAGTGAGTAGAAAAAGACAAGGTCTCCCCCGAGAATTGTTTACAATCTAATGTAAACATTGTTACAGAAAGAGACAAATAATTTATTCTCATACCTATTTGTTGAATACATGCCATGAAAGGGAGGTACATGGTACAAATGAACCTATAAAGAGGGAAATGGATTCAGTTTGCTGGGACCTGAGGGAGTGAGGCTTGGACCAAGTGGCAAGGTTAAGAATACATTAATCAAAAAAGAGAAGTAGAGGAGGTTCTGTGAAGAAGGGAGAAGGGGCAATATATCTGCAATGCAGAGAGCAAGGGGTAGCATAGTGCAAGGCAAAGCCAGAGAAGAAGGCAAGGAGCAGATTTGGAAAAGACTTGGAGCTATGTCTTACTCTAAGAGTACTCAGTTAAGGATTAAGTTTTTGTAAATGTTTCTTTAGTGATAGCATGGATCACAGGTTTGAAAGGATTAGGGCAGATGGAGATTAGCAAGGAAGCTATTAATACTACTTTTATCAAGGTGTTATCACTTGCCTCCCAAAAAGCATACTGGTTTTCTTGATTTAGTTTTTATATTCTTTTCAATTCAGATATTATTGAACAATGTTATTTGCTAAATAGCAAATTTTAATCTTTGTGCTCCTGGGAGGATACCTCTTTGAGAGGTAAAGAATCTGTTCTAAAACTCTGAAAGCAGGCTGCATGTGATCTGTCATGACACCTGGTTGGAGATTACCAAGAAAAAGTGTGGTGAAAAATACATTTACTATTCAACAGAGCTAGAAAATCCCTAATTGGGGGCGTGCTAGTACAGAACCAGAAATACTGATTTAGATGGAATACCCAAATTATAATGACAATTGTTACTTCCGAGTTATCACTGTCTACAAGTAAAGATTCTAGTATTTTTCTTCATTTGATACTAAATATATGTAGCTAGAAAGAAACTCATTCAACTTAAAAAAAATGGTACCCTTCATAAAAGTATATCAAGGCATAAGCTTTACTTGAATAGGGGTGTGTTTTCTATTTAATGGCCTTTGTCTATCATTTACATTATTTAAATCTTTCTCATACAATAGCCCCTCTGTGGCTAAAATGTTCTATTTGGAGATGCTGAAACATGCCACGTACTCCATGCCTTGTTTTGGTTTCCTTGCCTGATGAACACCTACTCAACCTTCAGCGTCCAGCTCAAATGTCGTCTGCTCAGTGGAGCTCTGCCCAACTCCCACAGCCAGAGCTAATCACTCCCACCTCGCTGTTTCCATAGCAATGTGCTGATATCCTTATTATAGCACTCTGCATCATGGTTAAGATGGCGGTTTATGCTTTGGCTTCCCCTTTTAGATCGTGAGGTCAGGAATCATCTTTTTGTCCATGTAGCTGAGAATAATGCCTGGCACAACAGTACAAGTTTGCTGATGAACAAATGAGTGTATAAGACAAAGAAGGAATACTCCATAGAGTAGTTCTGTTTCTTGGCATATCACATCTTCTGTAACATATCACTATTTTCACCATCATTACTACTTTACTAATTTTGCTGGTTAGGCAGAAACACATGATTTTTCTCCATTTCAGCAAGTATAGTCACTGGATAAATAACACTTTTATTCTATCTTGCTTTCTGTTCAGAGAAATTCTTAGGCTAAGGATAGTCTTCTAGAAGATGTTCATCCTCTCTCATTAACTACACAACTAATTACAGATATCTTGAAATTTTAAATTTTATCTCTATTTTTATGCATTTCTTTAGCTAAAGAAGAAAATTCCAAAATTTAGAATAATCCTGTAAGTTATTAATACAAAAATGCCTCAACTTTTTTAGTATTAGACAATGTGATATAAACGGAGTATTTCTATGTTTAAGCAGCAAGGTAAGTTTTTGAACAAAAACTTACGGTTGAAAAAGAGAAAAGCAGAGACCTTATCACTGTATAGACGTCTTTGGTAATTTGACTAATGCCTAGTACAGTGGCAGAATATAATAGATGCTCATAAACACTAGCAGCTGTTTATATGTGTCTCACTTTTTAAATCTATCCAATATATTTTACAAATGAACAACTTCCCACTCAAGTATCTTGGTAAATTAACTTTAAAAGCTTCCTATAAGTAATAAGATCAGATCTACTGAGGTCATGTGAATAGCTTTAAGTTTATTTTGGTGTATTTCTAAGGAGCAGGCAGTTTTAAAGCAAAGCCTCTTATTTGTTACTGAGAGCATGTGATGATAACATGCAACTTGGTATAAATGCACTGCTATAGTCCTAACCTCTACTTACTTATTTTTTTAAGATACAGAGAAGAAATAACCAATATTGCTGCTCAATCATCCATTCTTTGAAGTGACTGCCTATTAGATGTTTAGCTTTCTGAAATTTTGAACTAAATCTATTATACTCCCTAAATAGCCTGTATTTAATGGGTAATCAATACACATCTGTGAAGGAATTAATTCACTCTCTCTATATATATATTTATAGTATTGAATAGAATATATATAGTATTGAACAGAATATATATATATTCATGCAAAAATCAGTCACATGACTTCATCATACATTTGATTATTTGTCCCCATGAAAGAATTAAATTCATCCTCTTAGATGAAAACAGATACTTCCTTGATAAAAATGCAAGAATTTCTAGTGGACTTTTGATTACACACTGGGGACACAATTTTCTTTTCCAGGTTAAAGGATTACTAAAAATAAGTATGATATATCAGTTTTCATATTTTGCACAACTGAAAAATGAAGCCAATCTATATTTGCTTAAACAATGACAAAAGTTTTAAACGGTTTTATGTATTAAGTTACCATGTGCCAGTCTGTTTCAACTTTTCTGAATATAGATTCCATTTTCCACACACCATTCTCCCATCCAGAAATGGTTTGATTGTTATTTGAAACTCGAACATAACGATCTTTCACAATATTATAACAAAGGTGGAGCTGTTTAGAAATCTTCTCATTTTCAGAGGGAATAAACGAGGTTTCTTTTCTCTTAAAAAGAAAGCAGAATTAGTTTTTCAACATTATGAAAGATGTAAAAAAGAAAAAAGAGAAATTACTAAGCAGAGTGGTAAGAGAATCCTTCAAAATTAAAAAGAAAAAATTGGTGCCATTGGAAAATTTGGAAATTATTTTATAAATTAAATATAATCAGTATGATGTTATTATAGCTCTAAACATTACTAGAGAGAAAAACAAGAAGTATGAGCTCTGACTTATATTTTTGTGATTTTGCATTCAATGAATTCATTAATTTTTATTCTTTTCTACCACCACCACTATCCCCTACTTGGACTTCTACAACTGTCTCCTGAAGCTGACTCCCAGCTTTCAACTCTTACCTCTCCTATCCATGCTCCACATAGCAATCAAATTGATTTTTGAAAAAATGTAAACTAGGATATGTCATTTTCCTGCTTAACTCACTTCAGTGACTTAAACTCCAAGCTCTTTACCAAGGCTACCAGGGCCTTATGATGGTTCACCCTGTTTGCTTCTCCAACCAGATGTCCTGTTACTCTTCCCTTTCATTTCTACACTCACATCATATTACTTTTCCTTTAGTTCCTCAAAAAGGTCCAGCTCATTTTGCCTCACGGCCTTGAGACATGCTGCTTCTTTCGTCTAGGATGCTGTTCTTTCTACTCTCCACATACTTGATTCTTTCTCATCCTCAGTCCTCAACCATTTCTTCAGTGTCCTTTCCTAATTCCCTAAGGTAGGAGAGCAGCTGAGAGGTATAAAAAACAGTCTTTTGCATGTGTAAAATTATTACAAAAGCTCACATTTTAACCTTAAAATCCCAGGCAATCTTTGCATTCTAGTCCAAAATAACATTAATATTTTATAAATTTTTTTTTTTTTTTTTTTTTGAGACGGAGTCTTGCTCTGTCGCCCAGGCTGGAGTGCAGTGGCCGGATCTCAGCACACTGCAAGCTCCGCCTCCCGGGTTTGCGCCATTCTCCTGCCTCAGCCTCCTGAGTAGCTGGGACTACAGGCGCCCGCCACCTCGCCCGGCTATTTTTTTGTTTTTTTTTAGTAGAGACGGGGTTTCACCGTGTTAGCCAGGATGGTCTCGATCTCCTGACCTCGTGATCCGCCCGTCTCGGCCTCCCAAAGTGCTGGGATTACAGGCTTGAGCCACTGCGCCCGGCCAAAATATTTTCATTCTAAGATTAAAATAAAATTTTCTTTCTGGAAATGATATCACCAATGTTCCTTCTGTTTCCAACTGATTGCAAGATTAATTCCAAAAGTATTTAGGATCAATGTTTCTCTATTTACTTTTAAAACAAACATCTATTTCTAAAGGAAAAAATGATTTCTTTTTAAATCCATGGCCCTAAAATGGTCTCCAGCAATTAAGAAACTTAAAAAAAAAAATTCAAAAGAGAAAACAATGTGGTATGCAACCCAATTCATATTTTTAAAGTTAATCAACTTCCATGCCATGCAAGAGGTAGCACACCCATGCATAAAAAGAAATGAAGACCTAAATAATATCCATGTTTTAAATTGAACACAGCTGTGAATTAAATTAGCTCTTTTTAACTGGCTGTATTTAGATTTATACTTGTAACACACTGCATTGGCAGTGATTTGAATTATTTGTTGAATTTGGATCTTGTAATCCTATGGCTGAACCAAAACTTTTAACTGCCTGCTACAGACGATAGGACAAATTAAAAAGCAAACATAAAATTTATTAGGGATAATTCACTCCTTTAAAACATACTCTGTTACTAGAGAAATGAGCTGCAACAATGGCAAATTTAGAAAAAGTAGATAAATAAAACTCTGGAACTGCTTGATATTGATATTGTGACGAGTTATTTTCCTTTCAAGCATTTTTCATTGCAAATTTCCTAAACATTTATATTAATGCTCTCCAGTGACTCAACTTTAGCTCCCTAAAGGCGAAGGAAAGCCTATTATACTGTCCTAATGCCAGTTACAAAGCCTAGCACACTGATTTTTACCTAGTCACTTAACTTTAGGACCTAACTATGGAAATTATATTTCTATTGTTATTTACTTTTGGGAGATTAATCATGTGATGTCTTAAAAAATAAGTTTTAATATAACAGTAATTATACCACTAACAATAATTTCTAGCCAATATCAGATGTAGGCAAGCATATACCAAGAAATAAACACTTTCATCTGCTGAATTCCCCAAATTCTGTATTTTCCCCACTCCATAAAGTTTTCATCTGGAGAGGATAAAAGTGAAACAGCAGTCTTCTAAATGCATTAGAATCTCATTTTAAAAGACCTAAATAAGCACTTCACAAAAGAGAATGAGGATATCCAAAAGTTTAAAGAACAGGCATTCAACATAATTAGTCATCACCAAAATGCAAATTAAAATCACGATGCTACTATATGCCACCAGAACTGCTAAAATGGAGAAGATAGACAATACCAAGTGTACACAAAGATGTCGAAAAATTTCATATACTGCTGTGAGAGTATAAGCTGGCATAACCATTTTGAAAAATTGTTTGGCAATATCTACTAAAGCTGAATATATACTCATACTCTATTACCTAGCAATTCCATTCCTAGGTATACATCCAACAAAATGCCTAAACATATTCACTGAAAACATGAATATAAATGTTCAGAGCAGCACCATTTATATCAGCCAAAACTAGAAATAACCCAAATAGCCATCAACAGTGAAAAATTACATTCATACAATGAATTATACAGCAATGAGACTAAACATACCATACATATTGCAACATGCAACTCACTGACACAAAGTTGCACAAAAGAAGTTATATACAAAACAGTACGTGCTATATGATTCCATTTATATAAAGCACAATAACAGGCAAAATTAATATATGATGTTAGAAGCCAGAATAACGATTACTTTCAAGAGTGTAAGACAGTGTGGAAAGAAACTCACGCTTGTTTCTACGGTTCCAGTGATCTATTTCTTATTCTGGTTGGTGATTATATGGGTGTTAAATTTGTAAACATTCATTAAGCTGTACATTTGTAATTTGTGCATTTTCCTGTGTATTCTTCAGTAAAAGTTATACTACACTAAAAATTTACATAAGGTAAAAAAAATTTTAAGTCCCATTTTAAAAATGCTTTGCTAACTCTTACACATGATTATGCTATGTCAATCAATTACTGGTTCTCTTCAAATGTTTGCATTTTAAAATAATTACTCTCAAGTTAACTTAAAGGTCATAGTCAATGCAGTTGGAGCATAGTACAGGAAAAGCATAGTATAGGAAGCAGGAAAGTAAAATGATCATCATGCTAGAATGAATTAAATACCTGTAGACCCATTTCACCTCGGGCTACTCTCCAAGCCACTGACCCAGATATTCTTCCCCCAAGTTCTCCAGGTTTAGGGGTTTTGGGAGATATAAATTCAACAAGCTCCACAATTATCCTCTGGAGAAGTTCTTTCCTTCTGTTTTCTGACAAAAACAGTTGCCTCTGTAATTCATGTTTTTTAAAAAAGTTGTTAAGATTAGGGGAATATATAGTTTAGGAATGAATAAGTGATGAATTCAGTTTATTTTACAGACTTTTAAAGTTTTTATTATTTTATTTTAATTTTTCGAGACAGAGTCTTACCCTGTGGCCCAGACTGGAGTGCACTTACATGATCCCGGCTCACTGCAACCTCTGCCTCCCAGGTTCAAGCGATTCTCCTGCCTCAGCCTCCTGAGTAACTGGGATTAACAGCACGTGCCACCATACTTGGCTAATATTTTTTGTATTTTTTTTAGTAAGAATGTGGTTTCACCATGTTGGCCAGGCTGGTCTCAAACTCCTGACCTCAAGTGATCGCTCACTGCAGCCTCCCAAAGTGCTGAGATTACTGCACCTGGCCCCCATGGCTTTTACATTTTAAACAAACGGATAGTATTCTAAAAATTGCATTTAAGGCTGGGCATGGTGCTCATGCTTATAATCCCAGCACTTTGGAGGCCAAGGTAGGTGATCACCTGAGGTCAGGAGTTTTGAGACAGCCTGGCCCAACATGGTGAAACCTGTCTCTACTTAAAACAATACAAAAATTAGCTGGGCGTGATAGTGCATGCCTGTAGTCCCAGCTACTGGAGGCTGAGATACGAGAATCACTGACCCTGGGCGAGTGAGACAACAGTGAGCTGAGATCACGCCACTGCACTCTAGCCTGGACAACAGAGCGAGACTTCATCTCAGAAAAAAAAAAAAAAAAAAAGCATTTAAAATTACATACATTTTAGGTATCTAGTAAATAAAGGTTGATGGTTGTTAATCTTGTTAATTATTTGTAGTCTGTTATTGTTTCAGGTAGTTGATGTTACTTGGCGATATCCTGTAACATGAAGAGGTGATTGCCAGAAGAACTAGGTTAAAGAAGCATATACTCGCGAGAACTATTAA